GTACCAGACATACTTATAGAGAAGTGATGGGAAATAAGTACTATTACGCTTTGAACCTTTATATAGATTTGAAATATTTCATAATTTTTTTGAGAGGATTTTGCTATAGGGCATGTGTGCTCAACAGGAAGACAGAGAGAGACAAAAAGCAAGAAATCACCCCCCAGGGGAGATGGCCATGCTGCAATCCCTTCTCCTCCATTCTCCTCTCGGGATCTTGGGCACACATGCACATGCGTCCAGTGTGAGTTTACACTGCTGGGTCTGGGACTCGAACCACGGTCAGCTACATGGGAGTGCAGCAACATAGCCATTATGCTAACTGCTGGTCCCTATTTCATAATTTTTTAAAAAGTGAGACGAGAAAAGTAGAAAGGTAGGTTAACAGAAGTCCTTAAAAACAAATAGAGAAGATTGGGCTTCTTGTTCCAGGCAGCATCAAGCCACTAGGAGTCCCTAGACCAGATACCAGTTGAAACCAACAACGAACAGTGTGGCTTTAAACTGGCATTTGCTACTTCTACTGCTGCTACCATCACCACTACCTTGGTGCTGCGATGGTAGCAGCTGTCATTATTAAGCCATTTTTACATGCCAGGAGATTCACTTACATAATCATACTTAATCATCCTACCAACGTTATGAGCTGTAAGTATTATAGCTTCTGTTTTACGTGTGAGGAGACAGGTTTAAAAAGACCAGGTGACTTTTCCACAGCTGGTAATGACTAACTGATCAAAATCACTATTACTCTTTTCCAAACTTGTAAGTTGTTAAGTTGATGATATTTGTACTCTATACTCTTTTTTTTTTTTAAGAATTATACATTTTTTTATTTTTTGTTGTTATTTATTTTTTAATTTGGCCAGAGAAAAAGGGAAAGTGAGAGAGCAAGCCACCAGGTCCAGGACTTGAACTGCAGCCAGCCACATGGGAGTCCAGCACCTTAACCACCATGCCACATGCCAGCCCCTGTACTCCATACTCTTATAGCAGTGTTTTTCACATTAGTTCATGGCACATAAGTGGGTTGTGAGATCAATTTAGTGGATAAAAGAATAAAATAAAATGGAAAATATTAGAATGTTTCATACTTACTGTTAACGAAACTTTTTCTTTTCCTGATAATGTTATGTGTGTCTTTTTGTTCGTGTAACATTATCAGGAAAAGAAAAAGGAGAAGAGACAGTGTTTTGTGGGCCCCACTAATAAATGAATCCCATAGCCTCTGCTAGACCAGCTTCCCAGGGCTCTGCCAACCTGCTTCCCATACATCTGTAAATTTATCAAGCTGTAATGGATGGCTGGTGCCAGGAGAGGCTGAGGTTTAGGCCTTTCTCTCTGGGATACATTGAGATCTCAAACCATTAATAATTCATTCTGGAGTAATGAACATAGCTGTACCAAGTTATGAGAAGTAATAATCAAGAGACAGATCAGTCTATTACTTCAGTGTGCCAAAAAATCTGGTAGTTAGTAATAAAAGGTGTAGCTCTCCTCCAAAAAAGTTTTCTAAGATGTAGATCAATGTGTTTTTTAAGTTCTAAAACAAAATGGATCATTAAAAGGGAAATGAATTATGTTGGGTAGCCTCAAGTCTATTTATTTTTCAGACTTGCTGATCCAGAATTACTGTACCTTCTTTCCAAATGCCTTTAGGCATTGGGCCCTGCAAATTAGAGTAATTATTGCTCATTAATTAAATCTAAGAAATGGAACATAGCTCAAGACTTTGAAAAGGGGTGTTGGAAGGGTTCAGATACATTCCCTAAAAATCATCAATAATAATTTGAGGCTTTATGAATAAGTAGCTGGGTTGGGAATAATTGTTTCATGTCTATTCGGAAACTTACCTCATCTTTTAACACCTCGGCAAAGATTCATTATGCTTCTCCTGTGCCAAGCTCTGCTGCTACCAAGTAAAATACCAGCATCCCTCTCCTCAGGCAGTGGTAGAGACATCAACATAGTGTCATAAATGCAGGAGCAGGTGGCCTGCATCAGGGTTGGAGGACTGGGGAAAGACAGGAAGAAGCAGAAGAGGGCCATTTGTGTTGAGCCTTGAAGATCAAGTTTGCCAAGCAGAGAAAGAAGAAAAAGAACATTCTAAGCAGAAGGATGACACAGATAAAGGCAGAGAGGTATGAAATGGAAAGATGATAGTGAATTATTCTACTAATTACTATGTTTCCCATGCATTATCACATTTAATCTGTACAGCAACTCAGGAAGTAGGTGATCTCCTCTTTCACCCAATACATCCTTTTTTTTTAAATGAGAAACCCAAAGTATAAGACATATCATGTCATTTGTCTAGGAACCCAGTGCTAGAAGGTAGCAGAGAAAGGCTTAGAGGTGAGTTGGGAAAAGGTGTGCTTTTCTTATATGAATTCATACTTTATACTGAAGACAGTGGGGCTTACTCAAGATTTATAGCCATCGTTGTCAGAGCAATTAAACAGTAGAAGCATTGCTAAACTCTCCACTTATGCTGTGTCATGCATTTTTCTCTCCCAGTAACCAGGAAGGTGTGAGACAATTGGACTACCATCATTTTCAGCTGAGGAGTGATGTGGTTGGAATTGGGTTTTGGTGGTGGCAGGCAGAAGGAAGTTGCACCTAGAGGTCCTCACATCAAGGAATTTAGTTAGAAGGCTATTGATTTAGTCAGACGTAGTGTGGACAAGCTTGATGGTGAAAACTGATCATCATCCAAACCATGTATTTTTACATTAGTCCACAGTTTGACAATGCTTTCATATATAAATAGCTTGTCGATTCTCTTGCACAAGGGACTTTCGTGACAAGAGGGGTAAGTCTGTTGACTGAGCTCATTTGGGAGGTGAAAAATAAGGACGTAGAATTTCCTTCCCACACACAGGAACTGATATGGAAAGTAGTGATGTTAAAAGCACTTTTGTGGAACCAGCAGATGGTGTAATGATTACATTGCTGGACTCCCACATAGTCAACCACGGTTTGAGTCCTGGACCCAGTGGCTTAAAACTCATGTTGGGTGCGTGCACATGTGTGCCCAAAATCCTTAGAGGAGAATGGAGGAGAAAGGATTACATGGAGATGGCATGGCCATCTGCCCTACAGGGTGATATCTCGCTGTCTCTGTCTGTCTCTATGGCAAGCACACATGTCCTATAGCAAAAATCTCTTGAAAAAAATAAAGGAAAAAAAGCAGTTTGTAAATATGCATAGTTGCTGATTGAGGTGTAGAACCTCTGTCTTTCCCCTTTGCCAGGTAAGACTTTGACCATCTGCTTTAGCCCTTTCACATGATGTAGTTAAAACATAAGTAAAACCAGGAGATTCAGCTAAACTAAGAAAGTATTCATAAGATACTCTTATGTGGGGGGTGGGGGGCGGCTAGCAGGTGGCATATTAGTTAAGGTACTGGACTACCACGTGGCCACCTGCAGTTCAAGATCCGTATCTGTTGACTTGAAATTCACGCTGGGCACATGTGCATGCATGCCCAAAATCCCAGTAGAAGAATGGAGGAGAAAGGATTACCATAAGGCCATCTCCCCAGGAGGTGATTTCTCACTTTCTTTCTCATCGTCTCTCTGTCTCTGTCTGGCGAGCACATGTGCACTATGGCAAAAACCTTCCCCCCCCAAAAAAAAAAATATATATGTATTTTTATATTTTCTTACGTGGACCAGAGCAAGCCGGTATATCAGTGGGAACACTTCTTGTTTCAGGTGTTGCTCATGAACCCAAAAGCCAATTCTCTTTCTAACTGGGTTGTATCACTGTTAAAATTTCATAGACCTAAACACGCCCTGCCCCTTTCAGGGGAGGAAAACTTAAACACTCTTAGCCCTAAAAAATTAACGAAAAGTATGCATCTGCTGATAAAATTGTTTGATATAATATTTCAGGAAAGGCTTAGTTTAAAAACCAGCACTTAAGGCAGTATAATCTCTTTTCCTCCTACAAATTAAAAGTATTTCAGAGAAACAGTGGAGGCATTTATAGAATTGTGTGAAAAAAAAATATTCACTATAAATAGCACTAAATGCTAAGGAGATAGGTCTGTGCAAACTACTGGTTTCTGCCCGATTTTTCTCTAGTTTCTAGTTCGTAATGAATAACTTCCTTCTCTAACAGGTGATTTAGGGAAACTCCTGATGTTTTCTTAACAGTCCTGAAAGGCATTAACTTGTATTTGTTATCAATAGACAGCTTGTATATGTTTAGACCCAGGGTCAGCAAATGAACAATTGAGTTTTATAGTTCAGTCATGGTGGCCTGAGCATATGTTTTGAGAGGTTGTTTATCCAGAAATATGCATACACATTTAGCACATTACTCAGATCCCGCTCCTGCTGCCCTGTGTGTTATTTGAGTATAAGTGACAATATGAACCCAGTGATGTAGGTGGATCTACGATACTGCACTTTGATTTGTTTATGCCGCGTTTCAGTTCATGTGAGCCACATGTTTAATGTGATGAGATATTAAGACTCGGAGTTTAATCTGTTGAATTTTCTGACTTAATTTTAAATATCCAGATCCGCATATTTAAAAAATTAAATGTTTTGCTCCTGTTTCCAAGTATATTAAACCCATTAAGAGTTTTTATACCCATAGTAAAGAGAATGTTAGTGGTCACAGCGGTTTAAGCAGCAACCAAGTACATAAATTGTAACTAAAGAGGATCAACAGCCCCCCGGACCTGCAGAGCAGGATTCACATGTGCAGAGGCTCGTCCTTCAGCAGACACTTGCTTTGGTTGATTGGTTATTTTGGGCAAGATGGGAATGGTAAAGAGTATCACATCCTAAAACAGCAAAATAGCGTGGATACTAGAGATTTCTGAAACTTCGATAGGTGAAAAGTCAAATAGAGACGTCTTTGCTGACTCCTGTGGCATCTGAGGATGCCCCACGTTCTAGCCCCTCTTGACAAGGAATCCACAGAAGTCTGCTCTCCCCCCAAACGCGATTTCTCTCATTCGTGCCTTTTCTTTTCCTTCTTCCCAGTGTTGCTAACAACCACAAGCAGAATTTGATGACAGTGGCAAACCTCGGCGTGGTGTTCGGACCCACTCTGCTGCGTCCTCAGGAAGAAACCGTAGCAGCCATCATGGATATCAAATTTCAGAACATTGTCATTGAGATCCTAATAGAAAACCATGAAAAGGTAACATATACTCAGTCAGTTGCAGTGAGGAATTCCTTTTGGGGGAAGTCACATGGAAATTGGCTTCCAGGTTGACTCAGGTTCGCATTGCTAACGGCTCTTGCACTGTGATCATGATGGAGTTGCCACAGTGGAGGTGATGGTGGTGGTGATAATCATAAAGGGCGGGGAGGTGGAGGTGGCAACAATGGCAGTTTTGGTGACAACAATGGTAATTATGGTGGCTGCAGGTAGGCAATATTTGTTGAGCATTTATTCCATATCAGGAATTGCGCTAAGCACTGTATACAAGTTGTCATTTTATCCTCACAATAATCCAAGGATTATTATGAGCCTCATTTGGAAAACACTCTTGTCCACTTTTCATTTGGTTAACTGATCAATTTTGAGGTTTTTTTTTTTAATGTTAGGAATGTGAAACTTTTTTATTTATGTTGCAAATATTTTTCCTGTAGTTTGGCTTTTGATGATATAAAATCATGTATTTTTTCATACTTTGTGTGTGTGTGTGTGTGTGTGTGTGCGCGCGCACGCACTGATGTTTCTGGTCTTTCCTAAGGAGGTACCCTCCTTTTTTGGGCTAGGTGGTGGCACAATGGTAATGAAACTGGACACCCATGGGAGAGGTCCTGGTTTGGCATCCTGGGACCTCTCTGAGAACACCAGACACACACATATGCCAGTAATCTGGGCTGGTTTAGACTGGGGTGGATTGAGATGTAAAGACTCTGTTAGGGCTTCTCAGTCTCTCTCCAAAGAAGTAAATACAGTTTTTTTTAAAAAGAAGCCCCTTTCTAATTATGAAGTATATCAACACAGAACTGCCCTTATAAAATCAGGAGTGGATCTCTTCCACATCATTGCTTCTCCTAGCAAATCTCCATGCAGGTCCCCTTGGGCGCCAGTTGACAGCCATAACTCTGGGATCACTAGATGAAAATGAAATACTGCTCCTCCTAAATAAACACTTTGCCTAGAATGGTGGATTAGTTGTGCCAGATAACCTGAAAAATAAGTTCAGAACCAGACCACTCCTCACTACCCACGCTGATAACACTAATGTAAGCTCCCATCCCCTCTTGTCTGAATTTATACAAGCGTCTTCTAATTTGCATCCTTGCTTCCACCCTCGCCTGTCTATTCCAACATCAGCCACTGTAATGAGATTTCTAAAATGTTAAGTAAGGTCATACCAATTGTCTGCTAAGAACCATCCAGTGGCTTCTCATTTCACTCAGAGTGAAGGGCAGAGTCTTCCCGAAAGCTTATGAGGTCCTACAAGGTCTTAGCTCCCCACCCCACACTGCTATTACCTGGTTTCATCGTCTAGGTCTTTCTCACAGCCATTTTGACTGCTTTGTAGTTCCTCAGACCTAGCAGGTATACTCCTACCTCAAGGCCTTTGCAAGTGCTGTTCCTGTTGTCTGCGATACTCTTCCTCCACAAAACTGCATGGTGTGTTTTCTCACTGCTGAAGCCTTCTGAGTGAGGCCTACTTAGATCTCTCTATTTAAAATTGCACACAATCTCAACCTCCAGCCTCCCATCTCCCCTTCCCCTTGCTTTCCTTTTAGCATACTCTGTAATTATCGTTTAGACCATTGGCTTCCTGACCTCCACTAGCATATGTGCTTCACGACAGTGAGGGCTTTTGTCAGCTGTGTTCACTGCTTGGTCTTTAGTTCCTCATTAGCCCTTCAGGACACAGGTGTTGGATGGATGTGGCCCTGGCCTCCAAAGCGCTGCTAGTGATGCTTATCTCCTGGCATTCACTCCATGCATAGTCCCCTCCAACTCTGAATAGGGCTGGCCTATGTCATCACTAGGGTATTGCAAAGGTAACGGTGCATGACTTCTGAGACTAGTCACAAAAGACCTTGAGGATTAGCCATGGTTTTTGGACTTGCTCACTGGGTAAAGTAAGCTCCCATGTTGTGAGAACAGTCACACAGCCCTGTGGGGAGGAACCCCAGGCTTCCTACCAACCGCTAGACTAACTTGCTAGCCATCTGAACAAGCTGCCTCAGAAGTAAACCCTCCAGCCCTTATCATGCCCTCGGGTCATGTAGCCCCATTAGGTACTTTGAGCATAACCTAGTAAGAGACTCTGAGGCAGAACCTCCAAATTAAGCCCCTCTTGAATTCTCTATCCACAGAAACTAGGAGAGATGACAAATGTTTGCTGCTTTAAGTTATACAATTTTGGGGTAATTTGTTATGGAAATTTATATAGTTATATCAGTAGCTATATACTAGAGAACATCTAAATACATGGTTTATTAAAAGGTAGAGAAATCAAGTTATTTATTTGAGGGAAATATCTTTCTCTCTCTCTCTCTCTCTCTGTCTCTCTCTAACTTTGGAACTCTATTCAGCCTCCTATTTTAAATATAGGAAATCAGATATAGCAGCAACTTGTGGAAAGGCAACAACAGCCAGCTGAAAACATGGCTTCCAAAGGCAAGTGACTTGAACTTCAATCCACTACCTCTTATGAGCTTTGTGACTGTGAGCAGCTAGATTATATAACCTCTCTGATCTCATTATTACACTTTTAGTAGAGTTATCAGTGACTCTGGACAACAGAGTTAATCTTTTGTTCACCTAGCAGTTCAATGTGGGTACCTGATGGTGGCATCCCCTGTGGTGATCCACACCCCACGTTCCTTCCATCTTGTAGCACTACTACAGCTCTGCAGGTTCTCTGCAGTCAGCCTGAGATGAGCAAGTATGAGAGTATGGATGCTCAGCTAAGATTTTTATGGGCCAAGCTTGGAGGAGGCTCTCTTCATTTTCTTCTGCATTTCCCATTGACCAGGGTCACGTGGCCACATCTAACTGCAAGGGAGGCTGGGAAAAGTAACATAGATAAGTGCTCAGAGAAAAGGGAAGCAAGTTCAATGATCAACTTGCCAGTCTACCATACTCCTTCAGTTGTCATAGTTGTTTTGAGGATTAAATGAGGTGACTTATGTAAAGGACTTAGTCAAAGTTCTGGTGCATAATAAGGTTCAGTTACTGTTAGCCATTGTTGTTGGCAATTTCAACAGAATTATTTAGAAATAGAGATCAAGTCCATCTGCAGTTGTCATATGTGCCCTCCTCCCCGCAGATCGGTTTTTAATAACTTAATCATTTCCTAAATAAAATAATCGTAGATGTTGAGATGAGTCTCTAAGGGGTGAGCAGTTTGATTGTTTCATGTTTCTGAAGTACATACTTGGGCTTATTGCTTTTTGAACTGTAACTGTTTTCGAAGTCTTTGGGCCTTCAAAGCCAGAAACTATGTTTGAAAATAGCATGACAGAAAGAAGGATCTGCTGCTGCAACTAATAACAGTATTGAAACTTGTATAAACAAGCAGCCATCCTGCCTGGGCGCAACATACAGAAATCGAAATCAAGTATGAAATGTGTGGCAGAGCTTATAAAAATATGCACAAGAGGCTGATGAAAATACCTCCTTTGGCGCTAGCAGTTAGTGTAATGGCTATGTCGCTGGACTCCCACGTAGTCGACCGCGGTTTGAGTCCCAGACCCGGTGGCTTAAACTCATGCTGGGCGCATGGGCGAGCGTGCCCAAGATCCAGAGGGGAGAATGGAGGAGAAGAAATTGTGGCGTGGCCATCCCCCCCGGGGGATTTCTTTCTTTCTCTCTGTCTGTCTCTGTCTGGCGAGCGCACACACCCTATAGCAAAAACCTCTCCAAAAAAAAGAAGAAAGAAAATACCTCCTTTTGTAGGTTATAAATGATGTTACTTGTTGATGTTTATTTGGTGGTATACACATAAAGAGTACGGTGACACTTCATTAATTGTTCTTCTTCATTAGTCCATGCCAAAGGTAAGATGAATCACAATAAGACGATATTTCTGTGGGACCCATGAAGGAGAGGAGTATGGGTGAATACATTCCAGGGATGAAGGCTGCACCAAAGTTTGCATCTCCAGTCCTGAGGGAATTAGTGTTCCACCACAAGGGAGTCACAATCGGTCAAAGTTACATACAAGACCTGGATACGTACATTATTAGGGGGAGAAGTCCTTAATATTCATCAGGTTTGTATTTCTGGTGAAAACAACTTTGAATAAGGCAGCTTGTTTCCTTTTTAAAAGTAGCTGCAGGCGAGGCCTGGAATAAAGTGAGGAGATGCTGCCTCAGCCTCCTTGGGAAGCCTGGTGCTTGTCTTACAGGAAGCCCACACATATGTGGCCAGGCTCCGGCCTTTGACTTTTCAGAAAAAACATGTTGGCTAAACCTTCTGCCAGTAGGTCTTAACTTTAGCCATTAGATCCAGAGCATTTTTTTGCCCTCAGAAGAATATTGTCAGAGACTTGTTCTTCAAAGTGCACAGTCGTTAGGTCCTGGTCAATAATGTTTAATGAACATTCCCTTAGGCTTGGCTGTAATTTTCTAGAAACACTTACAGATATCTAGGAGTGTCAGAAGTTGGGGTGATTTCTCGCTTTCTATCTCTGTCTCTCTGGTGAGCACACGCTCCCTATAGTAAAAAGAAAAAAAGAAAAGGTGCTTTCCAGCAATACTTTTTCATCCTTCATATGAGACAGTGTATGCTCTCTGGCTTGAAACAAGCCCTACTGCAAGACTGAATTGTATAAACCCCACAGTTACTGGTATAGTATTCTCTCGTGTTAAGAAAACTTTATAGAATGTATTTAGTTTGTGCCTTGGAATGATGGTTAGGAGGGATCTAGGAATAAATAGATGGTGCTGAAAAGAGGATATGGAAATTCAGTCATCTAGTCATTGGAGCCACTCCATAGAAACAGAAAACCATAAGATGCCTCTTTTAGTTTTATCTTGCTATATAACAAATCATTTGCAAATCTAGTGACTTAAAACAACAATGATCTTACTGCTCTCAATTCTGTGGGTCAGAAAGTCAGGGAGGACTGATGTGTTGTCCTTATGGTATCTGGGGTAATTTGGTTGGGATTAGAGGATCCAAGATGGCGTCATGCCACCTGTCTGAGACTTTGG